ATTAGGTCAGGAACAGAGCAAGTATATCATCGATGCCTTGTAGAAGCCTTTACTTCTTCCTTTGTCATCAGAGGGGGAAGGAAGGAAAAGTTTGGTATTGCACAAAATCATAAATAACAGGTTTTTCCACCTTGTCAGCCAATCTGGTGTAAACAGAAGTTTGCATTCTTGTTTCAGAAGGCAGCTTGCTTCCCTCATCGCAGGGCTCTCCCGAAGCCTGGGCAGAGGCTGCCCGCGGACGGCCCCAGCACGCAGCGGCGCGTTTCCCCCTGCCCCGCACTCAGACTGAGGATGGCGACGCATCCCTCCAGCAGGGAGCTGGGGGGCAGACGTGGCCCCCGTCCAGGGAAGGAGCCTTGCACCCGGGCCACAGGTGTGGGGAGCACACGTGCTGCTGTCCCCCAGGAGTGCGCCTGTCCCACACACCACTGGTCCAACGTGCCGCATGCGTGCCGGGCTGCCGTGCATCCCTGTGGGTCTGCCGGGATGGAGGGATGGACCCAGGGGTGCTGTGCCCAACCTGCCCCCAACTGGGACACCTTTCCCACTGCAATGCGGAGGCATGGCCCGGCTGATAAGAGGTCACGTAACTCTGGGCTAAACTGCTGAGCTAAATCACTGCGGGGATGTTTTCCTGAAATTGCCGCCAGTTTTTTTCTATTTTTTCCCTTTTCATCCTAAAGCTCCTAATTATGTCCCCAAGCACTGTCCTAAATATCTTTTTCCCCCAATAGTTCTGACATTTAACTTCCACCAGACATACGTTTTTAACAGTTATTCACTACTTCCATAATTTTTAATAATTTTGCCTTCCTTTATCCACATTGAAGACTTGCTTTCCCTCATACTCTGTGCAAGTTCCTTGACTGCTGCTGACTCATACTTCTTGCCAGGGCCCCTCATTTCTCCCTTAGAAGTCCAAGGAAGAAGTTTTTCCCCATTTAATCCCTTCTTTCCTATCTTTTTGACTGCGGCGAACTGTCTTTTGGCAAGATGTTGCCAGTGAAGTGGCCCCAGTGTGTGCCCAGCCCCACACTGTGCTGTTGACATGCAGCCTGCGGCACTGGAGACAACAAGGTCAACTCCTGAACTAGAGACAACATGCATTCATCACGGAAATCAATTTGTTTAGAGAACAAATCAACTTAATGATAACCTTTAGTTTTTATAGACCTATGTTATTTATTGTGTTGTCATTTAACTAACACAAATACCAAAAATACCAGTTTTCTGCATTTAATTAAAAATGTGAATAACTGTAACTTAAATCATGTAGTTGCTTATATGCCCATGTGAAGTATCTTCCTGGTTAGCAAAAAGAAGTATCAGCAAATTTACTGCAAAGACAACATTTATTTTCGCACTACCTGCTTTAATAGTTACCACTCAGGAAAGACCAGAATTTCATTAGCATAGTAACGAAACCTAGATTAAAATTAAGGCTTTGCCCACACACTTAGTGGGAAATCACAATTAAATTAAAAGAGATTAAAAAAATAACAATCACTGGATACAGATTCCAGGGTTTCAAAGTCAAGCGAGTATTTCATTGCCCATTGGGCTCCTCCATCCCACATTCCTGTCCCTAACGCAACACATGACGTGTGTATTTGACTCCGAGACACGCGCTCTGTGGGGGGCAGTTTTGTCCGGCGATGGATGAGCAGCGTGGCTATCAGACACTCTCAGCCTTCGTTATTTGAATATTGAGATTAGTTGATGTTAAACGTACTCTGAAGTTTTATCATCGCTTGGCACACAGTTTCCTTCCTATCTCATCAGAACTTGAGACTTGGGGAAAATAAAGCGTGCTTATTATGGCAGGGACTGGGCTGCCTGACCTCTAAGCTCCTGTGTCTACCAGCTGCCGTAACTCCTCATTAGGGAGCTCCCAGGGGAGGGCATGTGCAGGCATTAAAGAAAAGCTATGCTTCTTGAGCTGGGGCTTGGGGGGATTTTGTTGTGAGTTTTTTTTGTTTGCCTTTTTTTTTTTTTCCCACCAAGTTGGTCAGCAAACTGACTGCTCTTCTCACAGCAGTGGGTCCCCGTTTAGGTCTTCTCGTTTCCTGCAGGAACTCCTGTGATTATAAGTCACTTGTTAAACCCCACTGGTAAATAGGCATCTCCAGCGGGAGCCCAACGCTTGGCAGTAGCTAGCGAACCTCGTTTGCCCTGTGTGCGTTGGAGGGGTTGACTATCCCCAGAGTGAATCTCGGCTTGCTGGTTTGGGTGTTTTTCCTCAGACTCTGATCCAACTTTGCACCTATAATCGTTGCTTCTAAAGGCCGTCAAAAGCCCCCGTAAAGTGAGGGGAACAGCCATTACTGTCAGCAGCACCCATCTGCACTCCACTGAGAGGGAGGAGCTGGATATTTCACACAAGGAGATAATTTAATTATCCCAATTACTACTGTTTACTACATGCTTCCTGCTATATGCTTTAGAAGTGGAACTTTAACTACCCAGTTCAGCTTTGCTTGCGCAGCAATGAGGAACAGCGGATGCCTTTTGCTCCCATAAGCCGAGCGCTCCTCTGCCTCACCCAGGCTGCCAAAGGACACAGCGTGCCACCACCGCAGCCAGAGCTGATGAGGCAAAGCCATGTCCTCCTCTGGCCGTGGCCCCCAGCAGCCACTGCCAGGTGCTTTGAGAACAGGATGCTTTTGCCACAGCTGGCTGTGGTGGCATTAGGTGTCAGCGACAAGCACGCAACAAGGAATGCAAACACCCCACCAGCATTATTTAGGAAAAAACTCTATCTCCTGATGATGTTAGGAATAGAACCATGGGAGAGTGCCACACCAGGGAGGTGACCGCAGAGACAGGGCCAGCCAGAGCCACAGGGTCCCTGTGAGGTACCCTGGAAGGGCCAGCAGGAGGGATGGATGGTCCGAGGACGGGGATACCCCAGGCCATCAGGCAACACAGGAGTGAGGAAACGCATCACATGCTGTTGAGGCAGCGGGGGTAAATGCAGCATGTTTAGGAGCTGGCTCGGAGCAAGGTAGCCGTGAACATATGTGGCTGCTGGAGAGCACAAGGCAGATGTGACTGGGGAGCATATGGGCCATTGCTCTTGGGCTGTGCGGGGGGGAAGGGCAAGGCTGTGGTCAGAGACATAAGTTTTCCAGCTGTGTCAGTTCATTGGGATAAATAAAGTGATAATGTGTACTAATTAATATGTGAATTATAGCAGAAAGTCACTTCTAGTGCTACAGATGATTTAAAAAAAGGAGAGGGGAGGGGGGCAGAAGAAAAAGATGACACTTTAGATTCCCTTGAAACCTCCCCCTGCTCTGCCTCCCCAGCAGCCACCCCCCCCCCAGCCCAGAGCAGCTCTCCCCACACTTACCAGTGCACACCCTTTCCATCCTGGGATCCTCCATTCCCCACTTCCAGGGGAGCCATAGAGAGAGCTGCCGTCTCCTCTCCCCTCCTGGCTGGGCACCTAAGGGAAGGGGTGGGATGCAGGGAGGAGCCCTGTTGCTGACAGGCAGGGAGCACAGCTGGCTGCAGTTGCCAGGGGATTCCTCCTCCTCCTCCTCCTCCTCCTCCAGATGGTGTTGGCTGCCTGAGAAGGGGGAAAGGGCAAAACTTCCAAGCTGCCCAAGAGCCTGGCTGCTCTCTGTTGGGGCTGGCAACCCAGCCAGGCTGGTGCCCAACCAAAGCATGTCCCTAATCCTAGCATCTCCTTATGTCTTTCTTCCCTGCAGGTCCCACGCTCACTCACTCCTTTCTCATTTTTTCCCCTGCTTTTATTGCCAGCCCTTGCCTCCCCCAGGCCAGCTATGCCACTTTTCCGGGACCTGTTGTTTCATTCTCACACCTCTTTTCTACCTCTGTTTACCCCAGTTCCTCCACTCTGTCTTATGCCAGGGGGTTCTGCTTTCCTTGATAATTAGACATTTCCACTGTTTGTCAAAATTATTAGGCTCCAAAGCATTCCTCAAAAGTTTTGAATTGAATCAATGTGCCATTTGCCACTGATCTTCTCTGATGTTAGGATTTTCCCACGCAAGACAATAAAGATACAAGATCCAGGTGGGTGACATGGAGACACCATTCGGCGTCAAGCAATGCCGCTGCCTCGTCTGCTGCTCCCAGCTGCAGCAGGGCCACCAGAAACCCCAACAGGAGAGGGGGTGTTTAGAGTCAGGAGGATTACAGCACAGAAAATTCATATAATGCCAAACCAAACTCCCCGGCAATCCCTTTTTTTTGGTCAGAAACTGTAGAAATGGAGAAGTGAACACTTGTAAGGACCATCAGCCATCCCAGTGTGAAACTCCATGTGCCCAGGGACAGGTACTCCGCTGGGGCGGATGTTTCTGCCGCACTGGGAAGCGTTTGGGGACAGACCGTCAACGAATGCAGTGTCTCCATCAGAGGGGCGGCAGCAGAAGCCGATGACAAGAGATTTTTTTGTCGTGTTGCTTTAACAGAGCACACAGAGAAAGCAAGACTTGCTCATTTTCCTTTCACATGATGTCATGGTTGGACCCCAGTTGGCAGCTAAGAAACGTCTGCAGGGCAGGCCAAAGCGCTCGCACCAGCGCTGAACACTGTAGTAAGCGCAAAGCAAACGTTCTGTGATGCATTTGCATTCGAAATTCAGCGGTGTATCCATCCGCTCTGGGCAGCTACAAATGCCTAATGGTAAACTGCAATTCCGGTCCATATATAGGTAATTGTAACTATACATATACATAAAATATTAAGTAGTAGATTGCAACATTTCTTTGGTTTAAGAGTTTTCAAGCATTCTTGAGAGGTATCTTGGACAATGAAGAAAGAATTTTTCAGCCTAAAGAGGAATTTGTGGGAACCTTAGCAAAGCGTCAGGCTCCAAAGCATTTCGATCAGAATGGTTTTGTCAAAACCGGTAAAACTCATAACTCACTTCTTTTAAATCAGAGGTTGTTCATGTGACAATGTGACAATGTAGAAAATGAAAAAAATTTTCGAAACATTTTTGTTAAGTAAAAATAAATAGCTTAACGTTAGAGTTCTAAAAGCAAAATTTAATAAATTAATATATGCATGCCAGATAAAAATACAAAATTACAATTGAAATAGCAATAATAATAAAGGAACACTGCTCAGCATTGCAGATTTCACTGCAACCACCATAAACATCATGGAGAATTACTTAAAGTAACATTTAAAGTACACATTTTGTTTCTGTTAAAAACAAATTACTATATGAGGATAAAACTGAAAGAAACCCAAGAAGAAATCAGCCCCCAAAGCGGCAGAGAATGATATGAAATGTCAATAAACTGCCAGAGGCTCCATTTCACGTAAGTCGGCTTTCTTTTTAGTATCAGAAACCAATTACATAGAACATAAAAGCAAATTCACAACAGGTTTACACGGAGAAACATGCTGAATTACAATCACAAACTATCCAGAACAAAGATGCTGCACCGGTTCAGTTGTTTTCTTCATGGAATGAGTCTCACCAGAACAGGGAGAACAGGGAGCAAATCATGCAATAGCTTTAGCCTTTTTGTTTTTTATTTTAACATGATAAACACCCAGGATTACTAGTACTGGAAAGTATGTGTTAACCTTTTTCAACATCAGCTGAATGGCACTACAGAAACGACAAAGAGTTCCTTCATTTTTATCCTGAATACATCGAAAGCTCTAGCAAATATGGAATTCAGCGACAGGAGCCATTAAATTACTTTTAAAATATTCCTTCATCCATAGAACACTGTTGCTTCCTTTTTTATTACAAAACCCCCAAAATATTCAAAATAAAATGTCTTCATTTTTTATAAGCATCTCCACCACAAGTCTCTGATAACGGATGTCATTCAATGCAGCCATCGCATCCAGTTCTGGCGCTCTCATAAGAGTTGGTCCAAAAACTATGCCCAGATTCTCTGCACTCATCAGATTTTCCTTTTCATGGAGCGTTACTCTGTAAAAAAAGGACAGTGTTTTTCACATTCCTGCAGTGCCAAACTATGCCTGCATACGCTCGAAAACCAGGGAAACCGGGCAGAAATGTTTGCCTCTCCCCAAAGCCCAGGAGAAGCTGCTGTTTCCAGCGGGATATGTTTGAAGGAGTTGGGTGAAACGCTCAGAAGTTGGCGAGTGCAAATGCTGTGCGGGTTTACAGCGAGTCAGATGTCTCTGTCCTCCCACCACGCACACAGACCATGGGTACTTGGAGGAGGGGTTGGTACTCCGCGGCGAGGGAGGGGGCCGAGGGGTGAATTCAGATAAATCAGAACAATTTTGCTCTCGCTCTTTACAGTGGCACCATTCGGAGGCCGTTCCTACGGGGAGCAGACTGTGTTTGTTACTACGTTAGCTGTTTTATGGTCACTAGAGACGTGCTGTTGTGGCTGCCCAGGTGGGATTCAGCCCAGGCTCCCCTGGTGCATACGATGGCAATGGGGGCGAAGCACATCACGTGTGAATTCCCTGCCCTTAGGCACTACAGGTTAACTGTGCTACACAGGACACCTGGTTCCCCTTCAGGACAAATTCTGTCCTGTGGCGTGCATTAAAAAACAAGTGATTCATCAGTTTGGGGTGGCTTTGAAACCACCAGGGTCTCGCTGTAACTTCACTCGCACAGCAGTCTGAGCAGGTCGTTAAACCTGTGCTCTCACGGGCCCCCATCCACCCTTCCTTCTTCTGGGGTCCTCAGCAGCTGCCATGCAGCTGAGCCCCCAGCTCAGGGAAGCCTCCTGCCATCTGGTTTTCATCTGCAGAGGAGGAGGAGGAGGAGGCGGGGAGGCCACGTTTTGCTGCTCCGCAGGAATCTGACCTGTTCAAAGCTGTGGGGCAGGTTTGCTGGCCACCTCCTGAAACGTAATTTGCCCAAAGAATTATACCTACAGGAGAGACATCCTCTGCAGAAACACATCTGCTCAGCAAATGCCAAGAGGGGTCACTGCTGCCCAACCACGACGGTCTCCAGGATCATGGGATGGTATTTCTCAATGTGGGCTCAGAGGCAGGTTGTGGTCTCCTGCGCTGCTCTGCCTCAGCACGGGGAGCACAGGGTCCGTCCCGCACGGCGGGGGCGGGAGGAGGACAGCCTGCCTGCGGTATCCCGACACGCAGCGCGCCCATCGCTGCTGCTCGATGCCACGGATGCAGGAGACGCAAACGTGCCTCAGAGCCCGAGCTTCTGCCTTGGTTTACCCTGGTGAACTGCCTCGCTCAGGAAAACAAATTCAGATTATGCAGATGTTTTAATACACACTATGGTTTAAAGAATCCATAAGGATTCTCAGAAACAATGAAGAATCCAGGGAGAGCAACTGAAGGAATCTGGCTACATGATGTCTCTTTCCACCACTGTGGCATCTTGCGTTGCATGAACAAATCCTTTGGTATACACAAAAAAAAAATCAAGATTTTCCTTCCTTTTTTCCCCTTGTGCCTTAATTTTTATTTTGAAACAAGTCAGAGTGATGTTTCCAAGCTGCTGGGTCTTCAGTTTTTAATTATTCCAGATAAGGGAGCTATGTCTGATTACCTGAATTCAGCAGCAAGACAAGAGCCTGTTGAGCACCACCGCTCTTTTTAGCAAATGGATTAAAAGGAAGTTTAAAAATCAGTGAGTTTTGTCACCCTTCTATTTTATCATTCAACTATAGCAGAAACACGACGCGCAAAAGCAACTTGCTAACTAGAGCAGCAACAGCTACTCTTGAACAGGGTAAGGAAAAATCAACTTCACACTTCACAAGCAGTACGGTGGGGTTTCTTTTGTTCCTGAGTCTCTCATCCCTGTGTCTGTTCTAAAACATCCATTAGAAATGTCATTGAAATAAATGGACAAATCAGGCAGAAACCCTGTAGCTGAATTTTGCCTGAGGCACTCAGCACAGTCAATGTATTCCTACTTGCAGAAGAACTATAAAAGGAAAAAAGCAGAAGGGAGCTTAAAATAAAGTATTTTTTTAAGGAAAGCGAATGATTCTTATATATTTACAAAAACTTCATGTTACTGGAGAGACTAAAATGGATACCCTAACACGCCACATAGATTTTTTTCCCCTGCTTTCCTGAAAGAAATAGAACCTGTGCTGTTATATTGGATATTCATCCGTCAGTCTCTCTCTAACAATTTTTCAGCCTACTGACCAACTTCAATCGTATCCCAGGGAGAAGGAGAAACTTCAGGCAGAATTTACGCTCCTACAGTTTTGAGAAGGTGGCAGGTGGAATGAGGGGCTCCACGCTGATGACGAATGACTGGCAGACCTTATCAGATGTGTGAAGGCCAATTAGCGCTGTGCCTAATTGGCATCGGCTCAAGCCTAGTGTGTGCTGTCTTTTTTTAGGGTGTCGGGGATGACCATGGTAGGCAAGACTTAGCAGAAAAAGACACCAGTCTATAGCCATTAAGCTGTACTAGTTCCTTGCCCAGGGAGTGACTTACTACTCCCAGAGGTACTGAAGGCTTTTTTTACCATAAATATTCACTGTAACCTTAGATACAGCACAAATTTGTTAGGCAGATGACTTTTGTGTTTCAAGACTGGATTTTTCACTTATTTTCTTTAAGTACTTTGCAAGTGCTTTAAGTAGGATAAAAACCAGCATTTGGGTGTTTGCTGTCTCACTCCCCGCCACAGCCCATCTCCAGGATTTGGTGGGCCTTGCCCAGACTTTTCTGGAGGTGCTAACACGGACTTTGCTAAAAATGAGTTTGGCTCTGAGTCCTCTCCAGGTAGTCCACCTACCTCTTCAGATGTGCCATGAGATACCGTAATGTTTCACAGTGTGCAGGTGGCAGCAGTTTCAGCGCCTCATGGAGAATTTGCAGCTGTTCATCCGGATCGGTGGTTTCTGAAACACAGATGTTCAACTGTTACCACACGTACAGCCAGAATTCACACACAGAAAGACAACAGTGGTGGCCTGCAGAGGAGAAAGGGTCTCACAGCTCTGCTGGATTACCGACTTCCAGAACCTATCCAAACCTCATAGTGGAAGATTTGCCTGTCGAGAGAGGTGCTCAGAGCACAGTCGGGATGTGACCGGTTTTGGACAAAGAAAACTCCCCAAAGCAAACTACACTCCACCAAAAGATTCCCTGCAGCCTACTAAAAAAAAAAATCCCCTGGTAATCCTTGCTGACTGGACGAGTTTTCCACAAATAACCTACAGGTGCAACCCTGGGACAGCAGAAGGTACTGGGAACTTTGCCATCAGCGTCTTTGGCTGTATCCATACTACGTGGAAAGAGCCTTCTCCGGAGGAGCAGTGAGCCCAGCATCTGGCCCTTGTTTTCTACCCATGGCTACCTCACACCTTTCCAGGTGTGGCTGGTGTGACTGCTACATCGCAGAGATGCTTCGGGCAGCCAGGATGCTTGGGAGAGACGTTCCAGCTGGGCTTACCGCTGCGCTTGCAGACTCACTGTCTGCAAGGTCAGCCCTGATGGTGGCCTTAGGATGAGTGCTTATCAGCTTTTGTAAACACTCAAAATGGACACCTCTAGAAACAAATGACTTCTTATTTCTAAACATTTTCATAAATCACCTTCTTTCTGGCAACGCAAACCCAACAGACTTCAAATGTTAACGTCAAGCACGAGGGATTCATGCAAGACATAAAAAGCGATGTAATCCATGACGTGTGATGAAAAGGAAGCATTCCTGGTGACAAAGGCAAAGAAAAATGTAACCGTGATCACGTAGCACCATGTCATCATGTTGTAATGTGCAGTGTATATTTACTCCTGCAATCCTTACTCAATAGGGCCCGCAGGGTAAGAGCTGATGGGACAGTTATTAAATCAATAGGCAAGTACTGCGCAAAATGGGGAAGAAAAGGATGAGAATGAAAACTAGGAGGAAAATGCGTTATACTTACTTGCAGACTCTATAAACTTTGGGTAGGCATCATACGTGATGAGTGGAATTGGCAAATCCCTGAAGTACAGTTTAAGTGCACCAGTGATAATATTGATATCTTCATACATATTCACAGAAATATCAGCTTTTTCCCCATCTGTGTGGAGAAGGCACTGACATTAAAGCCTTGGAAATGTAAACAGATGTGAAACAGAATTCAAAATAAAAATAATAAGTTGCTTAAGCAAACATTATTAAGCGGGACACAACTACAGATTTTGGCTTTTATAAGCAAAACAGAGATTTACTGGGCTGGAAGTTCATCGTTTCAGGGTGAAAACCTTAAGTATTTTATAAAGAAACCTATCCTTTCTTCATTTCAAACGATTACAAAAAATGCAGAGTTTTTTGGTTTTTTTTGTTTTTTTTTTTAAATCTGCCTAATCTAGCAGTATCTATCCTGTAGAAATGTGTGGAAGTTTAGCTATTTCTGAACACACTGCGTTGCCAAACAACACATTTGTCAGCACTGAATGAGAAATCAGGGGAGTCTGGGAAAAAAAAGTAAAAGAAAGAAAACCAACTTAGTCCACGGCCTTTTCATTTTATAGGAAAAACATGTGTTCACCATTTTGCTACAGCATATACTACCTACTCCTGACCGCAGCGGACACAGATCCACAACTTGGCTTCTCCAGTGCATCCCCGCCCTGCTAACGCTGCAGAGGCGGCAGATGTTGTCTGAATAGGTCCAGTCCTCCGGAAAAACAGGAGAGAGAGTTTCCAGCATGGATTTTGGCCTTCATTTCTACTGGGACAGGGGGACTGCAGCTGGAAAGCCTTTAATTTTCCCACTGCCTTTCCTCAGAGAGAAGAGTTTGTTCTCACTGACCTTCTTTTAGACTGCAACGATTCAAACTTGGTTCGCATTATTGTATTCATCTTATTATTTTGGAGCTTTCATCCAGAAAGATGGATTTAAGTTGCACAGCCCTCTTCAGGCACTTCACCACTTGCCCTCTATCCCTCCCCCACCCCCCTGAGCGTAGTTTGACTTGCAAACTAGGGCAGTAGTTCAGAGAGCTTCATCCTTTCCTATACACATCATTACTGAAGCACAGATACTGATGGAAGGAGAAAAGCAGATTCTGGTAATAAAGGCCAAAGTGAAGCTGATAACGCTTTTCTGATGGGGAGACTCCCCTTCTGCAAGCACAGCTGCTGGATGCCTTCAGCCCACTGATGCAGTGGAGCGTGAGACAGACAGGGGCTGCGCAGAAAAATCCTGTACATTTAATACATCCAGCATGCAGGAAAAGGCTGTACCTCTGTCAAATGCCATTTTGACATCTTCAATAAGATCACTAAATCCTGAGACTCTGTATAGTCCTTCGGAATTAAGACCTGCAATGAATATTTTAACAAGATTAAAATTAGTCTTAATTTTACAGTTTCCTTCCACCCAGTTCTGCCTTTGCCGGGTTCTTCATTTGAGGCAGAAAAGGCAGGCACATTTTAAAAGCCTTATCAGGCTTTTCTTTCAGAATGAAATCTTACCCTGGCCTTTTAACCCTGACCCTTGCATTAGCTGCCTTGTTATATCAACACTAAATTATGTTTATACAAATGATTTCAGAGCTGAAGAAACGTATTAAACCAATTACAACCGATTTAAAAATAACCGAGATTAGCATACTTGATGTTCAGTCATTATTTCACAATGAAAACAAATATTCTAATTCTAGAAAAGGATATTCAGTGTGGGCTAGGGGAACTTGCTAGAGGAAACTCATCAATACTAACTGCCTTTTTTTTAGCACATTCACTTAATTTTTTTAATAAAAATATTACTGGAAAGCTATGTGCCAATATATAACTATAAAGCAGTAATTGTCCATTAAGCAATTTCTAGCAGAATCTATAAAAATTATAAACAGATATGAACTATGAAATAACACAAAGCAGAATATTAGCTGTGCAGGGTAATTGGCAGTCATAAAATGTCCTGTGCAAATCTGTTTTGAGCAATCATACATTCAGCAGAAACCCAGATGACCCAGATCAATCTAAACGGATTATCAGTAAAGCAACCAAAGTCCATTAACTATGCCTTACCTCTAGATTCAATTTCCCTAATGCACATGTCTACTACCATTGGTCTCTTAGTGAAGTGTGCTTTTACTAGCGTCGTAAGGTCACAGCTGTACACTTTTTTGACATGCTTCAGGTCTGGCTTGCAGTCATTTGGGACCATCTTGGAACACTGCTTGTGCACATTTAAACCACAATCTGAGAGAAAAATGAAAAGACAGTTAGGCTGGTGGTTGGTGAAAATGTGTATCCCAAGGTCAGTGCTGCGGAGTGCGTATGGCTCCTGCAGGATCTGACCTGATCCCGCAACTACTACTTCTGTTGAGAGCTCTTAACCATCAAATGCACGAGGTGGGGACAGACCTAAAGTAAGACAGATTTTTCTACCCGAGACATTTCTTCTATCCCTAGAAGATTTAGCACAAAGTGACAAACCTTCCATATGTTTTTTTTTTAATCAGGATCTAAGGGTCAATTATGTTCCCCGCCACTATTACATATTTTGCTACCGTGATTTAAACTGTCTTCCCAAGTTGCTGCCGATTTCCTAACGCTTACAGTTCTAATGTAGTGCTGGACTGTGGCACTCCGACACCTCCTGGGGGAGATGAAGGTAGGGATGGGGTCTCGGAAGCCTGTGACCCCTGGCAAGGCAGCCCCGAGACCTGAACCACTTCAGAGACCCCCACGCTCTTGCCAGATGTGGCAGCCCACGCGTAGCGTTGCTGGTGACAGGGCCCATTCCCCAGCTCACAGGGGAGCTGAAAAGCAGATGCAGAGGTCACCAAGCTGGTTGGTGGTTTCTTGCTACGGAGCAGTTTACAAAGGACTTTTCTAAGTCACAGCGGCTGCAATTCTGATGCCGTTTCAACAGGGTGTTTCTGAAACAAAGTGTTGGCAGGCACCAAAACAAGTCTGTTTACTTTAAAAATGACTTTGGGAAAACTGGATGGCTTTTATAAAAAAAAAACATAAACAAACAACTCCACAGCTTTGCTGTAAACACACTGAGAATGAGATTTAGTTCAAGTGACACTTAATTGAAATCAGGTTACAGAAAAATGTTTGTTCTGCCCAAAACCATTAAAAACCATAATACTCGGGGTTTGGGGGAAAAAAAAAACTTAGAAAACACCACCAATTACACAGTGAAGATGGGAAGAGCAATACAGTCCCCTTTAAGCTAAGCACACACTGCAGTCAACACTACTAGGCAGCCTCTTGCCCTGCCCGGGGCGCAGGGCAGCCCCCAGTGACTCCATGTTCACCGCCATTCCTCCTGTTCTGCAATGGAGACTCACAGGCACCTGCGAAGAACCAGTGACCAGCAAAAAAGGCGGCATTTGGCAGTCAGGGCGTTTGCCGTGCTCTGACGTGTGCTCTGTATACAGTATGACTCCAGTTCTGCAAGCGTTTCTCTACACTGCTGCACTGCCCATATGGACTGCCCTGGATTTCTGCAGAATTAAGGGATGCAGGAGCTTGAAGGATCAATGCCTTGATGAAAATCTGTGCTTTCCTCTCCCACTGCAATACTGAGTATCTGTGTCTATATAGATTCCCTTCATATTTCATTCCTGTTGATTTTGCCAATACTTCTATTTTCATTAATGCTCCACAGATGATTTGACTTTGTTCTTTCCAAAACAGTAAAGCCCAGAATTCATCGCTAGGTTTAATTTCCACTAAGTCAGCTGCAACCCACTGCTAAAAGCACTTTGTTTACTTAACAGGCCTGTAAAGCAACCAGCTTTGTCACTTAGGATCCTCTGTAAAACATCCAATCTCTGGTTGCAATTAAAGTTCGGCACGTCACCTTCAATCAGTCAAAACGTGCGCAGACCCCAATCCAGATGAAATGGCTGATTAAAATTCTCTTTAGCTATTTCTCCGCAGGAGTGACTCCCGTCCTCGTGAGGAGCGGTTAATGCGCCAGACGTGGAGCTGTGAATGCTGAATTTCCCACCTGGTTGTGATTTTTGGGTGGTGAACCCCACCTTGGGCAAAGTCACGCAGCGTGGCCCCCGGGCCCCTGCAGACAAGCAGCGCCACCAGGGCTACCACGAGGGCCCACCCTGCCCAGCCTCAGTCACTTGCAGTGACCCACAGCCCTCTCCTGGGCTCGCTCCAGGCGTGGAAAAGTTCGGTTTGGTCACTCGGGTTCCTCCAGTGTTTGCTCAGTTGCCTCATTCGTGACAAGAGAGGAAATAGTAACAACCAAGGCACTTGCCTTCCCCCGACCATTTATTTAAACCCCACATTTAATCAAGGGCTCTAAGACCCCTAGTTGGAAGGTGCATGACTACACAACCTCCTCATGCACAGCACCCACCCTACCTGTGGTTCTGGGCTGTGGAACGAAGAAACTCTGAGCACGGCAGCCAGCGCAGGCAAGGGGACCTCCACCTACACTTTAAACATCTACCACCAGTGCTGCAATTTACCTAAACTTTGAGAAATCAGGTCCCTCTGTGCTTTAATCAGGGAACCCAAATTCACTGGAAACACGTGACCTGAATCCCTTAGTGTCTCGGTGCTTCAGCTGTAGGATGGGAAGGAGAAGCTGTTCTTGCCTCCTCTGGGTCTTGTATAAACAAATTCATTAAATGTTTGTGGAAATACAGAGGAGAAACGACTCATCTTTGGTGTAAGGTTTGAATACCGTGCCATTAAGAAGACCAATGGCTACACTTTTAACAACAAGAAGACAAAATACTGAATAGGTGCTACTACGCAAGTACCATCCATTCTGCTTTCAGAATAAGAATGGAGTTGTGGAGTAAAAATAATAAGTAGTCAAATAATTAGAGGCAACATCTTAATGCACACAAAGAAGGGAAGCAAGTTAAGAACACATAGGAAATCTTAATTCTTTATTTCAAAACCCTAACTTTGCAATAATAGTATTTACGACTGCAAATATAATTATTATATATAGAACTCCTACAAATGCTGCAAGAAGCACCTATTTCTACATGCGTGAAAGAGTCTGGTACATCTGTCAAAAATGACGTCTACAAGACTAGAATGGCAGTGCCTCGCTCATGAGGACTCACTAGCGATTTTGTGAGTGCAAATTAGCTGCTTCACACAGACAGCAATATAGCTCAGAGTAATTTTCTCAGAATCCCGGGATAATTAAGACTAAAATATACAAAAAAGGAAAAACATGCTTCAAAGTATCTTATACTTAAAACAATTATCGCGTTCACTGAGATCATCCTAATTATATTTATATACAAGAAAGTTTCATTTCATTAAAATAGCTAACTTACAGAGATGTTTTCGATGTGAAAGCTTTGCCTCTGAGAATAATTGTGTTATGGCTAATCCCATAGATTCAAATGGGCTTTGGATCTGACCTCATTAATACCAGAATAATAATTACAAATGCAAAAGTCAATTTTCTTCCTCTCTCGTTTGTTCTTCCTTTGCATTTGATTAGACTTTATGCACCAGCCCTCTGCTTAACGGCTTACAAATGCTCCTGAGAAACATTTTGAAACCTAGAAATATTTCGGATACTTAATGCTTAGAAAATGCATGAGCACTAGGTTCAATATTACTGGCCTGTGTGGTATCCTCCTAACAATCAAGGCTCTTTACCTCTTAAGTAAGCATAGCAGAGCACCTCACTTTAGCAATTCTGCATCAATATATACTTCTAGAAGCCTTCAGTGACTTTATTGGAAAAAATACAAATTTTCTCTTGCAAAGAAGCTGAAACTCACCAGTGCCGCGCTTCCTACTAGGTGGGCGCCTCTCCTGAGCTAACAACACTTCGTGAAAGGCAGCACAGCCACGTCTCAGTCACTGGTCTCTGGTTCAGGTGATAACCAGAGCCATGCGTGGATGAAGGATGATCATCTGTCTTGCTAACTCCAACAAGGTAAAAGGCGCCCGGGCAGGAGGTCAGCCCTCCTCTCCACTGAGCACTGGGAACGTGCCAACTTTCTACTCTATACTCAGCTTTCTTCTTAGTACTAAAAGGCAGGAATTATGCTGCAAATTGCATATTATTAAATAAAAATGCCCTCTCTTCTCATTGCAGATGCTTCATGAAAGCTTCGAAACCCATTATTACAGAATAAACTAGGAAGGAACAAGAAAGCTGAATCCTCAATCTCTCTGCGTGCTGCCACGTGGTGAAGCTTTAGGACTGCTTGCCTTGTTCACACAGAAACTTCATGATTTGGCTGGGTTCGTTAAGACCAAGAGGATTCATTTGATTTCAAACTTAGGGTCTATTTACTTTTGGTTATATCAAAATAAATCCAGAATAGCTAAGTTGGAGTTAGCAGCTTTACTCCGGATTTCAAGTAACCAGGAGCCTTATCCATTTCTTACAGAAGTTCATCAGAGCTTATCTGCTGGCTGGCTATACAAACTGGAGAGGAGCTAAAGAAAAATCCTCCTAAAGCATCGTATCTGCCAATAAATCCTATAATAATACAGGACAGATTTAGAAGATGCCGTCATGGACCCTTGCAGGTCAATAGGAAAACTTCTGCTGACTTCAGTTAATCAGAATTTCACCTCATACAGAGATGATTTGTCAGGACTAGAAATGTAAGCCACACGTACTATTCCTTTATACAGTGCTATCAAACTGTGGCCACCTTTCAAATACACCAAATGCGACCAAAAAAAATGCAGTCGTAAATTCCAGAGTTTGGAAATTTAGAAAAAAAAAATAAAAATTTCAGATGGCAGGTTTAGAAGTCTGTGATAAGCTGCCCTGACTTTAATAGCGTATTGATCTAGGAGTTCAGGTGGGCTGTGACATTACTTCTATGAGAGGTATTAAATTGAAAACTAGCTTGACAATACTTTCCTGTGATACCCAGAAAAAGCTCTGGTAATGTTCTAGAAACAGCTAATACTGATGTTAGTCCACTGGGCTAAAAGAACAAATAACGTGTTCATATTAATGCATGAGCTGAGCCAAAAGATATATGTACGTTAATACCTCCCCATGAGCACACATTATAAATATTTGCAGAGACTAAAAAATACTTAGCTGTCGCTTTTTGTTATACTGCTGATTTGATTTTAGCCAGTTTTAGATTTCCTTTGGTTTATGATTTACTGGCTGACATGGCTGCTGATCATGCTCCGTTGGAACAATACCGTATGCTACATACATCACTCTAATTATATTTTTGAATCATCCCAAAGAAAATTCATGCATTTTGTCA